AATGTTCCATGTGAAATTAAGGAAATGTCGTGATCTTGAGGGACTCCTGTAGAAGTGGCTGGTGGCCCTGCACCTGGTGAGATCATGGCAGCTGCCAGCCAAATCTTCTTCCTGTTATCAAATGATAGAGGATGGGGGGATATTTCCAAACGAAGGCACTTCAAGAGCAACAGCTGTCACTTAGTTTTGGATGTCCCTAAAAGCTGCTCCGCAATTCTGCTTTCAGTGGAACAAAGTTTTAGGCCTATTTTGCCACAGTCATCTGTTATTTGGGAGATAACCTTGAGTAAAGGGAAGGTCAGTGGCTAGAGGCAGAAGGAAGCCCGATTCTCATTCAAGTTCTGCCACTTCCCAGGAAAAGGAACCTGTCCAAAGTCTCCTAATGAGTAAATGTCTATGGTTATTGTAATAACTCAATCCTCCTGCTAGAAATCTGTTCTTAAAATAAATATTTAAATAGTGTTGGATGAATATTTAAATGGTGGTAGGAAGGTAAGAATTCTCAAGGTCTGTTACTTATCATGGCAAATCTCCACTTTTTTATACAACTTGAATGTGCAAGTGTAAGGAAAGGATGGTTCCCCTTCCTAAAGCCAAATTGGATACCTTTCCCAGAGCCCAGCCGACTCCAGTGGGTTGCAGGAAAAACTATCCCCTTGCTTCTCTATTCCTTACCTTTTCCTCACTGGAAGGGGCTGATGTAGGTGTGGAAAAGAGAGACGCACAGAAGAGCCCACGCGGGAGAGCTCCCTCCTGTCCCCAGTCTTTACTCAATTGACTTATTCTTCTTCCTCCTTGTCACCTTTGGTCAGTTAATGTGGAGAGAAGATCAGACTTCAGGATCTTCAGAGGGGAATATCAAGGTCAATTTTTCCACCTTCCTACTTTGAGGAGTAAGCCCTGGACTAGTCTCCTAGTCTTGGAGCTAAAATGACTTAGATTAAAGTTAGAGACCATCTGTGATTAAGGCTTCCACTGCCTCCCACTGCCACAGGTGGCAGATACATTGGTGAAACTCACTGTCAGCCCCCAACTCCACCTGCACACTAGGACAAGAATCTGCAATTTACAAAGTAATGTTTTCAGCATCTCTTTTTGGAGATCCTTTAAGAGGGACTTGGACAATTTATTTTTATTTTTTAAAATAAGGCTTTTTGTGGGCCAAGTTGCTTATACACCTATAGGCATGTCTCCAATGTCTTGGTTATTAAGGCCTTTAAGTGACAGCTTAATACGTTTTTTAAGACTGAGGGAGCCAACGACAATTCTTGCGGAGCCGTGTTTACGTTGGATCAGCTCGCCCAGGAGATGTGCCAGCAGTTTTGCACATTGCAGGGACTGGAGGTGAAAGCAGGAAGGGCTGAGTACAGTGGGAAGGACTAACCTGGAGGACAGGAAAGCCAAGAGGGATGTGACGTGGAGGCGTGGAGAGAGACGCCCTGCTGAACCTGGCAGTGCACTTAGTAGTACCATCATTTAGTGCTCCGTGGGCATCGTGTTGAGAGGTGACAAATAGAACCCGTTGGAGCCAGTCCATTGGCACATGCACAGTTAACAGTGAACATGTTCATAATCTCATTGTTCTAATCCTTTCTAAATTCCTGCAAATGGCTCCTTGACAGTCAAAGGGTCTGTATTCTTGCAGAGCCTAATAGGCTTTAGTGCACCTTCTTAGCAACCTCTGCTAAGAAGCCTGACCCCTCTGTGCCTCAGTTTCTTTATCTAAAAAGGGAAAAGAGCCCCTTGTCCCCATCTGGGCTTTAAATTCTCTAACTCCAGAGTGATGTGCTCAGTGACTGGAAATCCATGTTCAGAAGGAGAGACTTTGTTCCACGTAAGCAGACTTTGTTGGGTGATAATGAAGGCAAGATCATTGGTCACTGTACTAGCCTATCAAGGCTGACCAACTGGCTTAGGTTCAGCTGAATGAAAGTTGGTTGCTCTTCAGATGGGACAGTCTTAAATAATAATGTGTCCTATATTCACCAAAAGACTCATTTAGGCATCAATTTGTTCATTGAAATGTACCACTACCACCACCAATAATAGTGGCTAACTCTGGGTGCTCATGTCTGAGTCCCTTACATACATCCTCTTATTCAGTTATCACAGCCACCTTGGGAGGTAGATGCTTCTACCATCTCCTCAACTGTCAGATGAGGTGAGGACACAGACTCAGAAGTTAGTCAGCTTGCCCAAGAGCACACAGCTAGTAAATGGTGGAGCTGGGATTTGAACCCAGACCTGAAGCCAAAGCCTGTACTGGTAACCAGTATTCTTAATAAACAATAGAAGAATAAATCCATGACAGTGGTTGGTTCCACGAAGAGAAATGGCATTTGGCCTTCAAGTCCCTTTGTTACCAAAGAATGTTGGCAATTTCACCATTCTCAGAGAACTCTTTGTGCCAAGAAAACTTCTCCTTCCCAGCAGAAAAACAAGAGATGCCGCAAAAGCAGCCAGTGGGAGCATTTGACTTAGCACGGAAGAGAGAATTTGGGGAACTGTTTCTGAGCTCTGCCACTACGTATGTATGTAACCCACGGTCAGTCCCTCAGCCTGTGTGGGATCGGTTAGGTGATCTCTAAGGCTACTCCAGTTTTTGGATTTTATGTTCCCTCTTTTAAAGACTTTCCAGCTGCTGGGGATTCCCTGCCTGCCCCCTTGTGGGGACAGCAGTGGAGACTGTGTGGATGCCATTTTAAACCATTTCTCAATTTGTAAATAGGTCCTCTGCAACTCTAAGATTCTGTGAAATTGTTTCAAAATGTCTAAGTGTGATTATGCATCCTAAAGCCAAATGTTATAAAACCCCCCACTGTTACAGATTTAAAAAGTAAATATGCAATAAAACCTTTTCAGCACACTGCTGATGTGACACAGTACTTAACGACTGCTGTTACGCTCTGCAGAGTGAGCCTCTCTCCACTCCCTTCCTTTCCTCACCTTTTTGAGTTGAAGACATTGGTTAATCAACAAAGCATTCATCTTCCTCCTGATTGCTGCAGTCCCAAGAAGCAAAAAATATCTGCCCTTTCATCTCTACCCACCACATTCTTTCTCTAAGCCTGTAATTGGATCTAAATGGAAAATAAACCCTTTGCAGGCCAAGGAAGTTGGCACTAGAGGGTGACATGAAGGGGAACATGTCCCACCTCTAATCCAGATAATCACACTCTCCTATGCAAAGGAAAATAAAAACAAGGCTTCTTCCAACTGGCGACCCAGGCCCGTGGAGAGGGAGCACATTTCCATAGACTTTGTCTCACCTAACATGTTCACATAAACCAGCTTATATTCAAAATACCCAGAAACCATTTTATTTTCCAGAGAACAAACGAACCATGTCACCGTAGCCTTGAACTCTTCTACTTCAACTGAATTTGGGGAGGTAGTTTAGAAACACAAATAGCAGAGTGCTACAAGTTAAAAAATAACAACGCATAAAATGTACCATATGCCAATACTGTGGTCTTAGCTGGACAGAGATTCTCAGTGATTCACCTGTAGTTTCTTGAATCCTGCTGTATATGGAATGGCTATGTTAGTGCTATGTTAGAATGGAGATGAGCAAGAAAAGTTCACCCTCAAGGAGTTCAGAAAGATGTGTAGAGAGACAAGAGGACTGCATGCTTAAGTCACTAATAGGTATAAATTAATAGGTATTTTCCAAAGGTCTAAAGGGTTATGGGAATTCCACAGAAGAAGAGATGACCTGATTCTGCAAATAGTCTGGCAAATGCAATGAGGCATGGTACATTCCAGAGAGATGCCCAGATTAAATGTGACTTGGTGTGCATATCCAGAAAGATCCACTGGACTCTGTGTGGAGGTCTGGGGCAGGTCATCTGTGGAAGGGCGCGGCTATAAATTAAATGGTGCATGGGGTGCCTCTAAGTGTCTGGCTTGCATTTTTATTTTTATTGTGACACTATCTTTTATCTTTTTTCCTCTCACTCTATGCTGCAGGTAACGGAAGATGTTTGAGGATTTTGCTCTGCGTGATTAAATCCCCTCAAATCTGAGTTGAACAATTACTGCTTTGGGAGAGTAACCCACAGTGTCACCATTGCTACTACTGCTGCTGTGAGGGAGGAGGGGATTGTCATCTCCACATTAGAGACGAGGAAACTGAGGCTCAGGAAAGTGACTTGGTCAATACCGTGCAGTTAAAAAGTGGCAGGGCACTGGTCTGAATGCCTAAGGCTTTCCTTACACTCTGCTGCCTGCTGGAATCAACTCTCTGTGACCCTGGGCCTCAGTTTCCCCATCTGTAAAGCCTAGGTTGTCTCTCGGCTCCCTTCCTGTTCACACGTCTTCTAAGTCTCCCAATTGCATTCAGGTTAGTGGCAAGTGGGTGTTGGAGGCACAGCTGCAGGCCTCTCCTGCGGTACTTTGCCTGTGACCTTCTGGGCTCCTGGCCAGCCCTTCTTGAAAGGGAAACGTGCAGACCCTGGGGACAGAAATTAGTTCCCTTGTGTTGAAACTGCTGTCACTGCCAACATCACCAACTAAAGAAATTGTGTGTGTGTATGTGTGTGTGTGTACGCGCACGCGCGCGCATTGAGGGAAAAACACAAAACACTAGTATAGGATAATAGCAAAAGGGCAGGCTCCCGGTGAGTAAATATTACATGTCTCCATCCCTCCCACTTCAACCACGGAAGGGGTCAAGGAGAGGGGAAGCTGAAGCATGTTTCCCCTATAGACCTTAAGATAAAAAAAACCCAAAACAAAATAACCCAAACACAAAAATCCACCTTAATTAAATTTTAATGAGCATCCCCAAAGAACTCAGGCCCTTTGCAAATACTTTACACAATGGCATGAAGAGTGGGTTTTGGGGCGTGTGCCTGTTAGCTCAAACTGTATTCCCAACTATTTTGCTTTCTGCAAAGTCTTGGGATTTGATGAGTTTCCTTCTCATTCCCTCTAGCGAACGGATGGGAAGGGAAAACAGAGGACAGAAAGAATCTGGGTCGGTACGGATCCCCGCTCACCTTCTGAACTCCCGGGTTGAGGTCCTTAGCCACCTTTGCCATCTTCCTCCGGGGCGGACAGACAGCGCCTGGCTTCTCAGGCAGAGGCGCGAGGGCGCGCGGCGGGACG